CCAGGTTCCAGAGGTATCCTCAGAGGTTGTGAGGTCTATTGGAAACTAGGCAAGTGAGGAATGTCTAGAGTGGGAGAAAGAACTCTTGTCTGTTTGAGGCAAGTGTGAATGTTGCACTTGGCCATCTTTGTTGGAAGGTGTTAGTTGGTCTTGATTTATTCTTGTCTGGAACCTTTAGAACTAACAAGACAAGAATCCGGGCAATAATCTTGTCCAGACAAGGATCAATCAGGGCCAGCTAAAACCTCCCAACAAATTATCCCCCTCAGACAGCAACCAGCCAGGCTTTGAAGCTGCAAGGTCATTAAATGCTAATCAAGGTGGCCAGATGCAACATTCACACTTGCCTCAAGCAAACAAGAGTTCTTTCTCCCCTCCTGAACATTCCACAGATACATAAACCTCACTTGTCTAGTTTCCAACAGATCTCACAACCTCTGAGGATGCCTGCCATAGATGTGGGCGAAACATCAGAAGAGAATGCTTCTGGAACCTGGCCATACAGCCCGGAAAACTCACAGCAACCCAGTGATTCCGGCCATGAAAGCCTTCAACAACACATTTAAAAGCTCAACTAGTAAGGTTTATAAAAGTGGCATTTCCTCACTTGGATTTTTGTTTTCTGTTTCAGTGGTTGGAAATGTGAATTGTAAAGAAATGGCAAGGAGTCCTTACAGTCTGGCCTGCTGCAACCAAGCCAGGCAGCTTTAGCCAATTCCTAGCTACCCCACAAAGTAGAAAAAGGAATGTGATGTCAGTGGAAGTTATTCAAAGAGCCACTGCTTGGGACGATGCATATATTCCATTTTCATCCATAAACTCAAACATTACATGTCATTCATGCTATTTCCAACTACATGGGAATAAATGTCAGACCTCTACATTCAATTCCGAAACTGATCAAGGAATATTATCTAAATGGAAAAAGCAGTGCAGAATTTGAGAGAAGTGCGAGTGCTTGTCTGCCCTTGGATTAAAACCTGCACCTGTTAATCTGCCAGATGTGAGGGAATTGTCCTTAGAAGCAGTGAGAAAAGGCACTACACAGAAACGCAAGAGATACGCTCTGCTTGAAGTATCCAGAGGACCGAACTTTGGCACAATGAACAGAAGTCTGGGCTACATCCAGATTCAAAATAAACCCCACAGGAGAGGTCATTGGCCTGGCACCTATCTAATCCACTTTCCCTTCATTGGAACTGCTCTTTTCTGAAAAGAGTCTTGTTCTGGAGCAACTCCACATGAACAAGAGATGCCAGGGAGGGAACTGAAATTTGCACACAAAGCATGCACTCTCAAAGTACTTTACCTTCCCTATCTGCATGCCATTCCTAAAAGACACAGGGGCCTTGTCAGAGGAGAAATGGAGGCAATTCTCCCAAAAGCAGGAAACCCCTCCTTCTAGAGAACCTCAGCTGTCCTTCATGGAACAAGTTTATTTCCTGCTGCTTCTGGGCCTGTCTTTACTGACGATGTATGATAATTCAACCTGACTCAAAACTGCAGTGGCCACATAATGCATGCCACCAATGCATGTCACAGCATGCATTAAAGGGGATGCAGTGCATTAAAAGTACCAGGAAAGTCTAATAGAGCATGGCAGAAGCTCCCAATATATCCTGGATCCATGGAAAAATTGGCTCCACAGAATGCAGAACACATTGTAGAACACATTGCCCTTGCTGACACACATGACATAGAATTCAGAAGGTGGGGGGGGGGGTTTCTAATACTTGCCTCAAAAGAATGGTTGAGGAGGTGGGAGCTAATTTAGGTTTTGGGAGGGGTAATTGATTACTCTGCTCCTACCTGTCACTCTCCCCCCCCCCCCTTTATTTCTCTGGAGCACTGATGTACATCTCTGCAGGAAATGGGGGGAGAGTAGTTTGAAGCCAGGTTCTATGGTAAATGTAATCACCTTTCTGGCCTCAAACCAGTTCCAGACATGGCACTGTAATCAGCAATGCAGTTAAACTAATTCTTCCCAATCCATTCCAACTGTATTATAGTGTCAGTATAGGTGGGGCCTAGGATATGAAGCAATAGATTCAAACTACAGGAAAAGAGATTCCACTTCCTGATGGTAAACATTGCTGGACAGCAGCCTCCCAGGGGTGAATCTACTTGAGCTTTTTAAAGAGGCTGGATGTCCATCTGTCTGGAATACTTGGATTGTGTCTTGCTGCATGGCAAAATGGGGTTGGACTTCATGGCCCTTGCAACCTCTTCCAATTCTAGGATTCTATGCTGACCTGCACACGTTCAATTTGGCTTTGGGCTACTGAGCTTTCTTCCTAAGGAGCCCCCAGTGGCGCAATGGGTTAAACACTTATGCTGGCAGGACTGCTGACCAACAGGGAAAGTGGCTTGAGCTTCCTCTGTCAGCTCCAGCTCCCCATGCAGGGACATGAGAGAAGCCTCCTACAAGGACAGTAAAACATCAAACATCTGGGTGTCCCCTGGGCAATGTCTGTGCGGACCACCAATTCTTTCACACCAGAAGCAACTTGCAGTTTCTTAAGTTGCTCCTGACATGAAAAAAAAATCCTTGCTATAATAGCAGAAAGTAGACCACCCCCCCCCCCCCCCAAAAAAAAACCCCAAAGAGAGGCAGAAGGCCACAGAAGAGTGACAGAAATGATCAAAGGTTTGGAAAACAACCCCTATGAGGAGCAGCTTAGGGAGTTGGGCATGTTTGGCTTGGAGAGAAGAAGGCTGAAAGGGGACATGATAGGTAAAGGTAAAGGCTTCCCCTGACATTAAGACTAGTTTCATCTGACTCTGGAGGGTGATGCTAATCTCCATTTTTAAGCCGAAGAGCCAGCATTTCCGTAGATACCTCCAAGGTCATGTGGCTGGCATGACTGCGTGGAGTGCCGTTACCTTCCCGCAGAAGCGGTACCTATTCATCTACTCACACTAACATGTTTTCGAACTGCTAGGTTGGTAGAAGCTGGGCCTAACAGCAGGAGCTCACCCTGCTCCCCGATTCAAGCCAGCAACCTTTCGGTCAGCAAGTTCAGCAGCTCAGTGGTTTAACCCATTGAGCCACCAGAGGACATGATAGCCATGTCTAAATATGTGAAAGGATGTCACATTGACAGTGTTGGATTTAGGACAAATGAGGCCCTCTACTAGTTAAGTGACAAAGCCTCTTCTTTGGGCCCTGAAGAAGGTGGGCCCGGGAGGCCTACACTGCCTGCTTTGTGACACACTCCCAGAGAATATCAACTCTTATCATTATGTCTGGAATCATTCGGAAACAACAGCTTCCAATTTGGAATTGCACCACATAAGCAAAATCCATCATAAACAAAACAATTTGGCAGGAAGATGGGCCAAGGGGGCCCTGTGCACAATGGTTAAATCTGGCACCATGCACTGAGGAAGGGCAAGCTTGTTCTCTGCTGTTCTGTAGAGCAATGGCAGGAGAAGAGATTCCAAGTAAACATTAGGCAGAACTTTCCGACGGTAAAAGCTCTTCTGCAGTGGAGCTTCTTGGCAGGGGGTTGGTCTGGATATCCCACGAGGCCTCTTCCAACTCTAGAATTCTAGGAGGCATCTCCTTCTCAGGAGGTTTTCAAGCAAACATGGTGGAACTCAGCAGTGGAACTCTCGTCTCCAGTAGTGTGGTGGAGGCTCCTTCTTTGGAGGTGTTTTGAAGGTGATTTTCCTGGGGGTGGGACTGGATGGCCCATGAGGTCTCTTCCAACTCTATGATTCTATGTGGCGCCTCCTTTTCAGGAGGTTTTCAAGCAAAGGAAGAACCTGAGTAAGAACTTCCTGACGGTGAGAGCTGTTCAGCAGCGGCACCCTCTGCTCCGAGAGTGTGGTGGAGGCTCCTTCTTTGGAGACTGGATGGCCATCTGCCCAGGAGCTTTGAATGCGATTTTCCTGGGGGTTGGCCTGGATGGCCCACGAGGCCTCTTCCAACTCTAGGATTCTATGAGGCGTCTTTTTCTCAGGAGGTTTTCAAGCAGAGGAAGAACCCGAGGAAGAACTTCTTGATGCTGAAAGCTGTTCAGCAATAGAACTCTTTGCCTCGGGAGTACGGTGAAGGCTCCTTTTTTGGAGGCTTTTAAACAGAGGCTGGATGGCCATCTGTCAGGGGTGCTTTGAAGGCTATTTTCCTGGGGGTTGGACTGGACGGCCCACGAGGTCTCTTCGAATTATGATTCTAGGGCAGGCATGGGCAACCTTTAGCCCTTCAGCATCTTTTGGACTTCAATTCCCACAATTCCTTGCCTCAGGACCTTTCCTTTCCCCCCTCAGCCACTTAGCGGCTGAGGGAGAAAAGGAAAGGGCCTGAGGCCAGGAATTGTGGGAATTGAAGTCCAAAACATGCTGAAGGGGAAAAAGGAAGGGTCTGAGGTCAGGAATTGTGGGAATTGAAGTCCAAAACATGCTGAAGGGGAAAAAGGAAGGGTCTGAGGTCAGGAATTGTGGGAGTTGAAGTCCAAAACATGCTGAGGGGGGAAAAGGAAGGTGTCTGAGGTCAGGAATTGTGGAAGTTGAAGTCCAAAACATGCTGAAGGGGGAAAAGGAATGGTTTGAGGTAATTGTGGGAGCTGAAGTCCAAAACATGCTGAGGGGGGAAAAGGAAGATGAGGTCAGGAATTGTGGGAGCTGAAGTCCAAAACATGCTGAAGGGGAAAAAGGAAGGGTCTGAGGTCAGGAATTGTGGGAGCTGAAGTCCAAAACATGCTGAGGGGGGAAAAGGAAAGGGCCTGAGGTCAGGAATTGTGGGAGCTGAAGTCCAAAACATGCTGAAGGGGAAAAAGGAAGGGTCTGAGGTCAGGAATTGTGGGAGCTGAAGTCCAAAACATGCTGAGGGGGGAAAAGGAAAGGGCCTGAGGTCAGGAATTGTGGGAGCTGAAGTCCAAAACATGCTGAGGGGGGAAAGGAAAGTGCCTGAGGTCAGGAATTGTGGGAGTTGAAGTCCAAAACACGCTGAAGGGGGAAAAGGAAGGGTCTGAGGTCAGGAATTGTGGGAGTTGAAGTCCAAAACATGCTGAAGGGGGAAAAGGAAGGGCCTGAGGCCAGGAATTGTGGGAGTTGAAGTCCAAAACATGTTTGGGGGGGAGGAAGATGAGGTCAGGAATTGTGGGAGTTGAAGTCCAAAACACCTGGTGGGCCCAAGTTTGCCCGTGCCTGCTCTAGAGGCTGACTGGCCATCTGTCGGGAGTGCCTTGATTGTGTCCCCCCGCCTGGGAGGCCTCCTTCTCCCCTCCGTGTGATGCCAGCCCGGCTTTCCTACCACCGGCTCCTCCCGTCGGCGGAAGGCCTGCTGCTGCTGCTGAGGGTCCCCCCGCGGGTGAGGGCGCCCTCCCTGGAGCCTCCCGCCGGGGCGCGCGTGAAGAAGATGGTGCGTGGCTGGCTGCGGAAGGTCCTGTTGAAGCTGTAGAGGAAAGGCACGGTGGAGGCGAAGAGGAGCAGCAGGGCCACGGCCAGGAAGAGCGAGCCGGTCAGCCACTCCATCCAGGCGGCGGCCAGCAGCGCCAAGGCCAGCGCCAGGAAGAGGAAGCAGGCGCAGCCGGCCTTCCTCCGGCACACGGCCGTGCAGCTCTGCGCCGCCTCCTCCTCCTCCTCGCTGACACTGCGGGGCTCCTGCAAGCACGTCCCGGCTTCCAAGGAGCGGAAGGTGACAGCGCCCGAAGGGGAGGGCGAGGAGGACGACGAGGGCGAGGACGAGGCGGGCGGGGACGAGGCGCCGGGCTTGGGGAAGAGGGGCCGCTGGGAGCGGAGGTCCCGGAGCAAGGGCTCCCAGCCGCGGAGCTGCAGCAGGATGGCTTCCACCAGGCCGGTGTTGACGGGCAGGTTCTGGACGCGGCCGGCGGGCAGGGCGGTGAGGGCGCGGCAAACGGGGCAGGCCAGGAAGGGCGAGCGCGGCGGCGAGGAGGAGGAGGAGGCCCAGGAGGCGCCTTCCCCGTCGGTAGGGGAGCGGGGCTGCCTCCGGTGCAGCTGGGAGAGGCACGCCCGGCAGAAGGTGTGCAGGCAGCCCAGCATCTTGGGCGCGTGGCGCTCCAGGTCGAAGCGGTTGTAGCAGATGCGGCACTCGGCCTCCTCGGCGCTCAGCGGGGCCCCCGGGCGGGGGGGAGGGGGCTGCGGCGCCGGCGGAGGGGCCCCTCCTCGCCCCGCATCCGCCGAGGCCTCCCGCGCCCCGCTCGCCTCCCCCTCCTCCGCCTTGGCCATGCCAACATCCCGGGCGATGCCTTCCAGCCGGAGAGGGAAGGAGGGGGGCTTGGGGAGGGGCAGGGCTCCCTTCCCCTCCCTTTATGGCCTTCGGAGGCTTCCCGGTGTGGTCAGCAGCCCGCCATCCCGCGCGTTTGTGGGTTTGGTTGCCCGGGCGTGCCTCCGCACTCAGCGCCTCCCCCTCCCACCCAGACTCTTCGAGGCGCCTTCCCAGCCCCCACTCATGACGTCACGCGGGTTTCCCGTTTTCCCAGGACCGCGGCGACGCCACCCTCAAACCCTCTGCAAAGGTTCCCTCCTTCTCTGTGTTGTGGAAGGCTTTCAGGGCTGCAATCCCTGGGCCGTAGGTTCTAGCAGCATTTTCTCCTGACCACTCTGACCAGGGACCACAGATGCAGGCAAAATATCAGGGGGAAATGCTGCTAGAGCAGAGACATACAGCAGCATTTTCCCCTGACCACATTGACCAGGGACACAGATGCGGGTGAAAGTCAGGAGAAAATGCTGCCAGAACAGAGACATACAGCAGCATTTCCTCTGAACACATTGACCAGGGATCACAGATGCGGGCGAAACGTCAGGGGAAAATGCTGCTAGAAAAGAGACATACAGCAGCATTTTCTCCTGACCACATTGACCAGGGACCACAGATGCAGGTGAAACGTCAGGGGAAAATACTGCTAGAACAGAGACATACCGCAGCATTTTCCCCTGACCACTTTGCCCAGGGACCAGAGATGTGGGTGAAACGTCAGGGGGAAATGCTGCTAGAACAGAGACATACAGCAGCATTTTCCCCTGAAACACATTGACCAGGAATCACAGATGCGGGCGAAACGTCACGGGAAAATGCTGCTAGAACATAGGCATACAGCATCATTTTCTCCTGACCACATTATCCAGGGACCACAGATGCAGGCAAAACGTCAGGGGAAAATGCTGCTAGAACAGAGACATACAGCAGCATTTCCTCCTGACCGCTTTGACCAGGGACCTGAGATGCGGGTGAAATGTCAGGGGAAAACGCTGCTAGCAGGGACCACAGACTAACTGCTTTGACCAGGGACCACTTTGACAAGGGACCACAGATGTGGGCGAAACGTGAAGAAAAAATGCTGCTAGAACAGAGACATACAGCAGCATTTTCTCCTGACCGCTTTGACCAGGGACCACTTTGCCCAGGGACCAGAGATGCGGGTGAAATGTCAGGGGAAAACACTGCTAGAACAAAGACATACAGCATCATTTTTCTCCTGACCACATTGACCAGGGACCACAGATACAGGCCAAACGTCAGGGGAAAATTCTGCTAGAACAGAGACATACAGCAGCATTTTCTCCTGACTGCTTTGACCAGGGACCACTTTGACCAGGGATCACAGATGCAGGGAAAATGCTGCTAGAACACAGCCATACAGCCAGAAACCTCACAATACCCCAGCTCCCTTAGAATGATAGAATCCTCGTGGGCCATCCAGTCCAAACCCCTGCCAAGAAGCATGAAAATGGCATTCAAAGCACCCAGACAGATGGCTATTCAGCCTCTGTTTAAAAGCCTCCAAAGAAGGAGTCTCCACCACACTCCAGGGCAGAGTTGCATTGCTGAACAGTTCTCACCTTTAGAAAGTTCTTCCTAATGTTCAGGTGGAATCTCTACTAGGACGTGGAACAATGGCTTCAAACTACAGCAATGGTTTTTAACCTGTGAGGACAAAAATCTGGTCCGCAAGCCCTCATCATGTCTCCTCTCGGCCTTCTCTTCTTCAGGCTAAACATGCTCAGCTCTTTAAGGGCTTGTTCTCCAGACCCTTGGTCATTTTAGTCACCCTCCTCTGGGCACATTCCAGCTTGTCAACATCTCCCTTCAATTGTGGTGCCCAGAATTGGACACAGTATTCCAGGTGTGGTCTGAACAAGGCAGAATGGAGGGGTAGCATGACTTCCCCGGATCTAGACACTATACTCCTATTTAAGTAGGCCAAAATCCCTTTGGCTTTTTTATCTGTTGCATGACATTGTTGGCTCATGTTTAACCTGTTGTCTATGAGGACTCCAAGAGCAGCATCGTCGCCCATTCTGTATCTTTGCATTTCATTTTTTTCTGCCTAAGTGGATTAATTTGCATTTGTCCCAGTTGAATTTCTTTCCCAGGAAGGTGTTTGAAATGGCAGCCTGGCTCGCCTGGCAAACCTCCTGCTCAAACAGTGCCATCCTTAACAATGTGTCCCCAGGCTAGGTGTCACCCTAATGGCTAATTAGAGTGTTGTCTGTGGTGCGAAGTAGGCTATAAATAGAAATGCAAATTGATGGGAAAGGTTTTCCACTGTGACTAGTGGTGTTGTCGATATGTGTGCCCAATGTAACCAAAGTGAAGCATCAGTGAAGCTACCCGCACACAGTTTTAGAATGTATTTTCGTTTCGTTGGTTCAGATGTGGATGTTCTAAAGAGAAAATAATTAATCTTAAATAATTATTTTAAAGTATTGTTGAAGGCTTTCATGGCCAGAATCACTGGGTTGTTGTAGGTTTATCCGGGCTATATGGCCATGTTCTGGAGGCAATTTTAAAGTAATTGTTAAGTAAGTAAGTGATGGGGGCTCCTTCTTTGGAGGCTTTTAAACAGAGGCTGGATGGCCATCTCTCAGGGTTGCTTTGATGTGATTTTCCTACTTCTTGGCAGGGAGTTGGACTGGATGGCCCATGAGGTCTCTTCCAACTCTATGATTCTATTCAAGAAACATTTCAATTTTATGTAATTATTTTGCCAGTAGTGTGGCAGAGTAATTTGAGTGTTGGACTCCAGCTCTGGAGACCAGGGTATGGTGCCTCTCTTGGCCATGGAAACCCACTGAGTCACCAATGTTCAGCCCCAGAAAACCCCTTCATAAGGATGCCATAAGTCAGAAATGACTTGAAAGCACATAACAACTAACTGAGTAAGGCTGGTCAAAATGCAGAAATGTGGATAGGTCTTGAACTAAAGTTTCTACACTTGAAGAAGGATAAGTAAGAAGGTCCCTCATGGGTTGGAGACAAGACCTCCAATGTTTGGTGCTTCTGATGATGATGATGATGATGATGATGATGATGTTTACCTTGTTTTTTCTCTCCACAAGGAGATTCAAAGCAACTTGCATTAAAACATTTCAATACACTTTAAAATTAAAAAATATACAAACCAGTTGTCCACGGGAAGCCCACAAATGAGACCATGACAGCAGCCTCCCAACATCTTGTATGGAAAAGTGTTCTGACTATGATATTAGAAGTAATATAAACCACCATGGCTCCTAGTCATTGATCATCCATGAATTTGGCTGAGTGAATCAACATACTGGTAGTTGATTTACTTACACACTTCATGTATTCAGCATACAGGTACATTTCTTATTGGTTGAGAGTTTTAAACAGTAAATTCCTTAAAGCAACCTGTTTCAGTCTCTTCTTTGTTGCATACAGTCTAACACTCTCTTTAGTCTAATACATTACTGAACATTGTCTCAATAAAGACTGACTACACACTGCAGCATACTGATACTGACTCTCCTTCTAAACTTTACTGCGTCTGAAGTAAACTCTGAGTTCTGAAATGGAACCTCTGGCGAAATAGTCCCAGATCTGGTCACATGGTCTGTAGGCCCTTCCACAACCTCACACAACATAGAATTAAGGGGGAAACTGCATTCCAAAATATATAGTAAAGGTAAAGGTTTTCCCCTGACATTAAGTCCCATCGTGTTCAACTCTGGGAGTTGGTGCTCATCTCCATTTCTAAGCCGAAGAGCCGGCATTGTCCATAGACACTTCCAATGTCATGCAGCCAGCATGACTCCATGGAGCACCATTACATGTATTCATCTCACATTTGCATGTTTTGAACTGCTAGGTTGGCAGAAGCTGGGGCTAACAGCAGGAGCTCATGCCTCTCAGAGTCGAACCTACGAACTTTTGGTCAACAAATTCAGCAGCTCAGTGCTTTAACCCACTGTACCACCGGGGGCTCCATTCCAAAATATACTTATAATATAATAAGCAATCTGAATTATATGCATAACAAATAACTAGTATAGGAGGCTTGCAGAAGGTTGCTATTTCCAACATTTGTGCAATTTGAAAATGCAATAGAAGTCTTTAATAGACACCAAAAAACAGAGTACCATCAGAATAACTTGTGCTTGGCTGAAAACTTCTTACATCAGGGAAATGTCCGGATGTAACCTGTCATCATGATAAAGGAAATAAAAAGAAATCAGAACAGAAATAAACTTCTGCAGGTAGTGGAAACTATGGTCCTTTGTGGCCAACGAAAAGGGATTTATTCTGGAGAGGGAGCAATGATTTAGAACCTATTACCTGTGAATCCACTATATCCACTACATGGCTACCAGCCTCCTCCCCAGGCCTGTAGCGAGGGGGGGGGGTTAGGGGTTCAACCCCCCCCCGAAATGTTTCAGATTTTTTTTAAAAAAACCCAGTTTACTCATGAATTTTAACTGGTTAACCAAATCCCCATGCTAAGTCTATGAGATGCAAAAAATTAAGAGTCCCTCCAGAACTGCAAACACTATCTCAAGCAAATATTTATTTATTTATTTGTGTTTGTTTGTTATTCGAACTTATATGCTGCCACTCCCCTGGGGCTCGGAGCGGCTTACAAGAACAGGCTAAAATCGAACACAATTTAAAAACAATTTAAAACAATTTAAAAACAGCAATATCAGAGATCAAAGGCCTGTCGAAACAGATATGTCTTACATGCCCTGCGGAAAGCTGATAAGTCCCGCAAGGCACGGACTTCAGGTGGCAGAGTATTCCAGAGTGATGGTGCCACTGCTGTAAAGGCTCTGCGTCTGGTTGCTGTTAGACGCAAGGTCTTGACACTGGGAATTTCCAATAGATCTTGGTCCTCAGAATGGAGGGATCTCTGGGGTTGGTAGGGGGCGAGGCGGTCCCTCAGGTACATCGGCCCCAGACCATGCAAGGCCTTAAATATTGACAATTTATTCACATTGTCATTACTTGCAGCAATAGCCGATGTAGTGAAGCAACCAAATTGGGTGTGTGTGTGTGTTGAATGCTCTCATTAAGGAGGCCAGACTTGGTGGAGGTGGTTGACAGGGGTGGAGCTGCTGGCTATTGAAGGCTGCTCTGCCCCCTGCTGTGCTCTTTGCTTCAGCGTGAGCTAGAAGGGAGGTTTCAAC